GTTTACTTCCCTCATGGTATGTACACATGTTCACACCATGGTTTACTTCCCTTATGGTATGTACACATGTTCACACCATGGTTTACTTCCCTTATGGTATGTACACATGTTCACACCATGGTTTACTTCCCTTATGGTATGTACTGTACACATGTTCACACCATGGTTTACTTCCCTCATGGTATGTACACATGTTCACACCATGGTTTACTTCCCTCATGGTATGTACTGTACACATGTTCACACCATGGTTTACTTCCCTCATGGTATGTACACATGTTCACACCATGGTTTACTTCCCTCATGGTATGTACACATGTTCACACTATATACTTCCTTATGGTATGTACACATGTTCACACCCTGGTTTATTCCCCTTATGGCACAGACACATCATGTTCACACCTTTTTTGTCTTCCTTTTATGGCATGTACACATCATGTTCACACCATGGTTTTCTTCCCTTATGGTATGTACTATACACACCATGTTCACATTCCTCATGGTATGTAGGCCTACACATGTTCAGACCATCGTTTATTCCCCTTTGGCACAGTATATACACATCATGTTCAAACCATGGTTCCTCTAGGATGGGTTTAGGTCAGATCTACTTTGAATAAGACATTGACTTTTTGAATCTGTTCAAGCAAAGAGTATAGAACTTCAATTCCAACTTCAGAGTTTTGTTGAAACGTAGTCCTATCTCAAAAAGTACTATCACGAACTAGAGGGCATCCTTCAAAAGAACATCTATATTTGAATTCTAATAGTGCGCCCCCTATCTCGTGGTAGTATTTTTTTAACGTTTTCTTTCATTTATACAAAATCAGGGCAGTCGGACCTCTTGCAATTTTATAATCTTTGATTCTAGTATCAGGTTGTCATCGCCCATTATAAATCTTGTATTATTACAATTCTGAATTTAACTCTTGTTTCTTAAATTGTTTGTCAGTTTTGAATCTTACGTTGATTGATTTGCCGGGCATGACCAAAGTTCCAGTCGGAGATCAGCCAGCAGATATTGAAATGCAGATTCGTAATATGCTAATGGAGTTCATCACAAAAGAAAACACCTTAATCCTTGCAGTAACACCAGCAAATTCAGATCTTGCCAACTCGGATGCCCTCAAGATCGCTAAGGAGGTTGACCAATCAGGTGAGCTGTCATTTAAAAAGTTTGTTTTCAACCTTGCATTGCATACTGCCCTCACGTTACGTTGTTAAGATTATTCCCCCCTCCCCCCTTTATGATAGAGTGCAGGACATAGAAGTGGCATCTTCTGTTTTTTGTGGTAAAGATATTGTTTTTCTTTATGTTTATTAGGTGCTCGTACCATCGGTGTGATAACTAAACTTGATTTAATGGACGAAGGAACCGACGCCAGAGACATCCTAGAAAACCGACTGCTTCCACTAAGGAGAGGTAAATTCTCATCATTATTATGAATTGGCTTATACCGAAATGTGGTACTGTATTACACCAATCCTTGGGCCCTTTTTTACTGAATGTGGTACAAAATCTGGGGGGTTTTTTTGTTTAGGCTCAGTTGAAAAGTTGTTTTTTTGCACAGTTGTAATATAAAACTACATTGGTTGTTATTAATTCAACTGTAATTACCATATAACTTTATGTTTCATCAAATTCAGTAGTAGAGTTTGTATTGTATTTTATGGATAAACAGATAAATAATTTATTTGATTCTTTGTGTTTTGTGACACAGGCTACATAGGTGTTGTAAACAGAAGTCAAAAAGATATTGAAGGCAGGAAGGACATCAAAGCTGCTTTGGCTGCTGAGAGGAAGTTTTTTCTAAGTCATGCATCATATAGGCACTTGGCAGATAAGATGGGCACTCCATATTTACAGAAAGTTTTGAACCAGGTAAGAAGACGTCTTGTTACACTTGCATGAACATAAGAGTGAGCATGGATAAATCTGATTAAACACACAATTATACTGTAAAAATCCAGCATTTCTAATGCTCCATCTATCTAGTGACCTATTCTGAGGCATAGTTATTTTAGTTTTTGAATATCTGCCTGGAAATTGTACTGGTAAATGTTTATTTTTTGGAAGATATTCTCAGTTTTTTAAAACTTTAACTTTGCATCAGCTATATGCAAATACAGAGTTTCCAAGAATCAATGTAACATTAAAAAAACATGAAAAACAACACAGCAAAGAGTGTGACTAAGTTATCATAAAACAAAGACACAGTACAATTTTACATGTAAAACTCTATATTTAACCTTTAAAACTCCATATAAATCATAAAAAACTTAAGTAATATAAATATTGCATGAAAAAGCGTTTGAAAGTACTAATAATAATAAATATAAGGGCACTTTTTATGTCCTTAGTACCCATCATTCATAGAGATTTTATTTGTTTTTTTTTTATTCAGCAATTAACCAATCACATTCGAGACACTTTACCGCAACTACGGAGCAAGCTTCAGTCTCAACAGTTGTCACTGGAAAAAGATGTCGCAGAATATAAAAACATGAGTGCAGATGATCCAGCAAGAAAAACAAAAGCAATGTTACAGTAAGTACATCACAACAAAGAATCAAGAAATATGTGAATATAAATTTAAACCAGAAAATCTTTTCTTCCACTTTAATTTCCCAATGGTTAAATACATTCCACTCTTATTACATATGGTTTCAGAACTCTAGTCCCTCAGTTAAAATGATAAAATACTTTTAAGGTAGTGTCCTTTTATTATTGGTTTGTATTTTGGATAATATTAGAGTATTTATTCCTGTTTCAGAAACCATACATTTGTTCCTTTGTTCTCAATTTTTAAATGGATTGACTGATGTGATTGATGTGAATAAATTCTTTTGCATACCATATTATTTTTTTTATTTTTTTTTCATAATGTCTTGTAATATAATGATTCAGTGTGTGAGTTATTTCTATAATACATTGTTATTTTTCTTTTGTATTTTATAGAATGGTTCAGCAGTTTGGTACAAGCTTTGAGAAGATTATTGAAGGTTCTGGAGATAAAGTTGATACAAGTGAATTATCTGCTGGTGCAAAAATTAACCACATCTTCCATAAACGCTTCCCATTTGAAATTGCTAAGATGGAGTATGATGAGAAAGCATTGAGACGGGAAATTAGCATCACAATCAAGAATATTCATGGTGTCAAGTAAGATCATCATAGTTTTTTAACTTTTCAGTATTTTTTGATTTACATTAGCTGGTAGTCATAACAATATTTATAGGTTGCTAAGTCAGAAAAATCTGAATTATTGTACACTGCTTTAGCCCATACCCAAATTCTCTATGCCTATTAGGTTAAACAGCATTAAACAAATATGAGAAAAACCTTACATACAGTACCAATTTAGGTAATTATGGTGAATCGCTGCTAAATATTGTAGTATTAATACAAATACATTATGGTTTGAGGTAAAGTAGTGAATTCTACTTCCTGAGGTTTTGGATGATTGGGACTACCTCCCTCCATCCATCATCAAGGGACGTAGAATTCTCTGTGTTTCTAAAATAAAACCATGTTTTATTTTTCGTAGATAATAAACAGCAAACTGTCCATCTACATTAGGCATTTTTAACCGGTGAGCGTAAAATTACGCAGTTTACATTTTGTTCAATGGTGCGGTAGTTGATTTTGGGTAGCACTTTTTCCTCGCATACACTTATATTTGGGATGCGTATGGCAGTAGTAGAAACTACTGCACACCTTATCGAGTGGAATTGACCAATGAAGTGTTGTTATTACCTAATTAATATTTAAGAGGTATAGTAATTGATATTGATAAATGAGCAAGTAAAAGTTATAATTGATTTCTCCAGTTCTTGCTGATTTTATGATAGACAATTTATTCTTCAAAACATCAAATAAATTTTTCAGTGAGACACACATTTAAATAACGTAGTTTTTACGAGTTTACAGAATATATTTCCAAGTATTTTTCTACAACCTTGGTAAAATAGTAGCAAATGTCTTCTGTCCACAGAGTTGGTTTGTTTACTCCCGACATGGCCTTTGAAGCCATTACCAAGAAACAGATTAAAAGGTTAAAGGAGCCTGCCCTCAAATGTGTTGATATGGTAGTTACAGAGCTAAACAATGTTGTCAGGTCATGTGGAGAAAAGGTAAATTTGTTAAATATTGTTTAAATATTTATTGTAATGGACCCCCCTAGATGTAAATTGTAAGGATTTAGAGGGTTATCGCTGATACCACATGATATTATACATTTTTTTTTTCATATCGTTCTCAAATTGTTTATTGTATGGTATTGCAATAAATCAAATCAAATCAAATGTACATGTGTTTATATTGTTTTTCATTTTGTAGTGATTACAAATTGTTGATCTCCATATTAACTTACATCTGCATTATCGTTTTGGTTCATGAAAGAAAGATTTTAATTGATTTTTCTAAGTCTATTTATACTTGCATATCTATTAATTGTTTGAATATTTGGCGTGCACTAAACTTTTGAAATGATTGTGTTGCTAGTTCTACTCAGTTATGGTGCTTTCCCTGTGAATTGAAAGTTACAGTCTTTCTCTACTAATGGCTGTTGTATAGGGGAAACAATAATATCAAAGTAGCAGTGAATTAATGGAATGATCCATTTACCACAAGGATTGTCACTGCCGTATTAAGTCCTGGCCCAAATTTTCTAGTTACAGTATTTAACTAAAACCAATTTAGTTACTTTATTTTACATTTGTAATACAACATTCCTTCTTTTTGTTTAATTTAGATGGCACGCTACCCTAAGCTACGGGAAGAGACAGAACGCATTATAACAACACATGTGCGTGAGCGTGAACAGTGTACAAAGGAGAACGTGCTGTGTCTGTTGGATATTCAACTCTCCTACATGAACACAAACCATGAAGATTTCATTGGATTTGCTAAGTGTGTTTTATTGCTTACTCTGTTCTTTATGGTTAATATGTGTGTTGTTATATTACAAATGATAGTGCCTAATACTCATGACAATTTATGGAACCATTTTGCTATTATGTATATCTTGCATTACTTGGCAATTGAATACTATAATAATAGTATAGTATTATAATATTTTATTTGTATATCCCCCAATCCTTGCTCCACAATTTCACATACCTTATAAGTATTTCTGTCAACAACCTATGTTCACTATGCCTCATAATGAGACTTGGTGATAGAGAATCGAATGTCCCTAACAATTAGCTTTACTCGAGGGGGAAGGGGAGGTCACTCACATTTATATGCTGGAGGAATTATTATCAAAAGGGCACTAAATAACTGGCCTGAGAGTTCAACTGGTACAGTAACCAATTGGTAGCGTAACCAGATAGTACTTTTGAGTATGATTTCCTAAAAGAGGTCCCTTAAAACAGTTTCTTCTTCTAAAGTGATTATTCACTGAATAAAATAAAAATGAGTTAGTATGATTTTTCAGTGCACAGAGTAAGGCCAGTAGACGTCCAGGAGAGAAGAAGAGTGTTGGAAACCAGGTATAAATTGCATGATGTGGAGCATGTCGGCACTGTAATACTAATCTAATGTGCTTTTGAATAATGTGATTGGTTGAAAATAATTATGTTAAAGAATAAAGCAAAAAAAACTGTTAATCCTTTAATTCTGTTACTGTATCTTTACTACATGAAAATATATAATTGAGCAACATGAGCAGTGAGTTAACAGCAGCAATCATATACTGCTTACAGGACGGCCTGATGATATATATATATTTTAGAAAAATATTAAATTTAATACAAACAAATTAACATTAAGTACAATTAATTGAAATATTTATGTCTCATTCATTTGAAAATTCCTAAAAAATCCTAGGAATTACAGGCTGTTCAAAGAGTTACAGATTTCAGTTGTAGTTGCAAATAATAATAATAATTATTATTATTATTATTATTAACATTTCAAATATTTTCAACCAATCAAAACCAAAGGCATATTTTTCACAGGTGTGATACTCTTTAGTGCACTGCACTCTTTTATGTTTTTCTGTTATAATATCTTATTAACATGAACTGCATAGGGCTCAAGCGATTACAAAGAGGCCAACAGCAAAGCATGGTCTTCAAGCACCTCGCTCCTTGGCCACTCAGGTATCTACATTTTATTTGCTCTTTTACATAGTGATGAATATTCAATAAACATTTAGCCAAAAGAATTTACAACTGTAAAAACCCTTTATTTTTATGACCACATCAACACAACCTTGCCCTAACCAATGTTTCATTAAATTAACCTTAAAATATCCTTGAACAATGTTCTTTAACCCTATTTATTTTCACAATCAAAGATAAGTCATAGGACTTAAAAAAAATATAAATGATCATAATAATAAAAGGATTTACATTATATTGAACCATTGGCTAATAAAATAAAGCTGTACTGTATTGCTTGGTAAATTAATATTTCTTATTACTGTTGTAAATATTGTTTGGCTTGGTGTTGCCAAAGCATTGAAAATCCTGATTAAATTTCCTAGGATATAATAAAAGTATTATGAAGGAACAAATATTTGACTTCCTCTTGAATATTCATGAAGTAAGCAGCCTATAGATTGTGTTTTATCAGTACAAAACTATGTATGGAATAGCTATCTTTTCCATTCTACATACTTATTTTATGGTGCAACAGTAATAAAGTTGGCAAATTTTTATCTGACAGACCTTGTGGCATCGGTTGACACAAATCAAGTCTGTGGTTGGCTGAGACATATCACTACTAAAGTTGGTAGTGGTTTTTTTTTTTTTTTTTCTGTAATTTTTTTTTTTTTTTGTAATTATGTTTTATGCAATAATAATAGATAGTTGTATAATAATTGACTTTATTGCCTATTCCTCCTTAAACTTTCACAGAATGCTGGGGATAAAGGCAACTTGGTAAAATAATACATTCATGCTATTTGAAGCAATGTATTGAATATGCATGATAAAAAGATTGTTTTTGCTTATTTTTGCTTATACTTTGGTTTGCATATCCTGTACATTTGTGATTAGTATTAGGGTTGGTTTTCAGAATACATTCGGATTTTCTAGACATGCTTAAGTTAGGTAGGGTCAGATTTCTTACAAAGTGTAAGAATATTTGGAATATGTTTGAGTAGGACTTATCAATAAGATTTAGGTAGGACCATCCTTGGAAGTTTTTAATAGAGCTTTTCGCTTACAAAATGTGGACTTTTTTCTTCCTTTAATTATATCCTTGCCTTTATGGCCAAACCTGAATGTCTTTGTATTATTCACTAGTGTCGGAGCCAAAAAACAAGTTGTTTAAATTTATGTACATTACTTATTAGCACCATAAATCAAAAGTATTCTATATTCATTATCATCATCAACAAATTTAAGGTACATTATTTATTTTAACCATCCGTATTCATCGTTATCACCGTCACCGTCATCATCACCATCATTTTCACCATCATCATCACCAAATTTAGGTACAACTTATCATCATTATATTCAACTTAATTAAGTGTATTTCGTGAATACTTACCTGGATAAACTGACTAATTGCCTTTGTTCCCGAAACACCCCTTCAGATAAGATAAAATAGAACAGTCCTACCCAGGGAGCCACATAAGAGCTGTCTCCCTAACAATAGTCTTCAATCCCTAGAGATTCAGCTGATCATGGAGAGGGTAGGAATAGAGGGAGGGTTATCCAGGTAATTATCTCAGACATAGACTACCAACATCAAAATTGATTAGTGTAAGTTAGGTACATTTACCTATTATCAGTGGCAGATTTAGAGGGGGTATAAGCCCCATAATTCTTGTAAAATATAATCTTATCCTTACCTTGCTAATTAGTAAAATTCAATTAACTACGACCTATGATATGATGCTCTGTTAAAGTTAATAACTAATAAAATAAAAATAATAACTAATAAAATAATAATAATAATTGAGCCCGTGTAAGCACAGCTTGAGTGTTGTCAGTATTAACACTTATCTGTATGGGTGTGGCAAGTATGAGTACACAATACATATGAATGTGTTTACATGCGTTGACATAGATGTGCTAAATACAGCCACAAGGAGCAACATCATTTCATAGGTATGTCTTCGGCATTAATTGGTAAAGGTAAAGGTAGGAGAATAACCCATAACTTGCAGCGTCATTGTGCTGAATTGCGTATGGGCTTGGTCCGTGACTACCTAGCAGCCATAAAAGAGGTGCTTCTTGGTAGATACATGTTCACATCATTCCACAACGACAAGGGCTGAAATGAACCACAACATCGGGGTGAAAACCTACTCTTCCGAAAGATGCAAGGGGTTCTTTAAAGTGCAAATGAGCCAGATGTATACACTGGACCTCCATTTTAATTCCTTATCCAAGAAGACTTGGTTCTACCAACCGAATCATGGGGAGGAGCAGCTGGAACCAGCGCTGATGTTAAGGCTGTAGCTAGCAGCGCCCCTGCCTTACCGCTCGGCCACTCGACTCGCAGTACTGCTGTATATTCCTTATTTCCCAATGTACATGTTGAGATACTTGTACATTTTTATTGGTTCATGTTCAATAGCTAACTGGTATTTTCTTTCTTCTTGTGTTGTGCTATATCGGTTTTTTTACTAACATCCATTTTTATTTTTTTCTGATTTCCGAAGCTTTCTTTAAATTTACTCTGCTTTTACTTTTTAACCATAAGTTTAAGAAACATTTTTTAGAAAACATTTTTCGATATTATAAGAATTAAAATTATGTGTTTTTAATTTTCGTGTTTTCACTAACATTAACAATAATATTGTAGTTGAGAAAATGTTTAGGATAACATTTATCCATTAAATTATTTAAATACATTTAATAGATGTTAAATAGAAATATAAACAATAATGCTATTTTTCTGTGGTCAATAATTGTATAGAAATGACAGTGATAATATGAATATTGATGACCTATTTAGTACATTTACTTGTGAATGGTTGGTTTGTTTATAGGTTATTCGCAAAGGGTGGATCAGTTTGCATAACATCAGCTTCATGAAGGGCGGTGCACGCGATTACTGGTTCGTACTTACTGCTGAGAATGTCATGTGGTTCAAGGATGAAGAGGTAGGTCATGTGTCATATGAGTTAACATAATTTGTCTTTTAGCTCGAATTAACAATGTAAATATTCATGTTTTTATTTATTTATTGTATAGGACATCACAATTAAAGCTTTGCTAGTATTGCAGCCCTATGCAATTGTTGTTCAACATTATGTAAATGTTATTTAAGATAGTTTTTGTGCGAGACTAGAAAATAATTCCTTAAAGAGAAGAGGTATAATGGTAATTATAAACATTGGATCATGATTGTGGGGGTTTTTTTTTTTTTTTTCTTACAGGAGAAAGAAAAGAAATTTTACCTTCCACTGGACAATTTGAAGCTAAAAGATTTAGAACAGGGATTCATGTCAAAGAAGCATGCATTTGCCCTGTTCAATCCAGAACAAAGGTAATGTAATTCAATGATGTATTTTGAGATCTCCATTATTTTACTATTTATCTGTTAGTGATTTTGCTTTAATTCAACTTTAGATTTGCTTTCATATACTTCTATATTATGCCATCCTTTTACTGAAGTATGTTTGATTATTGAAATTAGCATTACCATTTTTTCTGTCTGTTATATGATGGGTAAGTGGTATGCCAGGGCAGGCTCCCTGTTAAAAACAAATGCTTAAATAGCGAAATGATGAGACAAACAAAACGAGGGCAGCAACTGACCTGAAGGTTGCAGTGGGCCACAGGAGTGTCTTGGTGTGAAAATCAGTAACCCTTTGTAAGAGGGAAACTGCTGACTTAAAAAAAAATTATGATGGTGATGTATAATTAAACATGTGAATTAAACTATTTAAGTATTCAGCACTTTCCATTTTTTTAATGATCACTTTGTGGTATATACTGTATCACCCTGACCTTATTTCAAAATGATAGCCTTCCAGTACTATACTTACAGTAACATAATTGCTTGGTTTCTACTAGGAATGTATATAAGGACTATAAGCAATTAGAACTGTCATGTGAGACCCAGGAGGAGGTTGACAGCTGGAAAGCATCATTCTTAAGAGCAGGTGTGTATCCAGAAACAACAAATGGTGATGAAAATAATGATGACCATTCCTCATCAGTAAGTACACGATTTGAATTACGCGGATAACTACTGGACGTGATGACTGTGTGCAATGGCAGTTACTCTAGTACTGCATAGTCCACGTGGGGAGTTGGCTCTGGAGGATCCTGGCTTGGATGTCGGCCTCTCGCAGCTGATTTTCCCGGATGCGATGGATCCTCTCTGCATTAGTTGTTGCGTCCAGTATATGTCAGCCTCTTTTTTATTACATTCTGTGCCGTAGCCTTTCATTTCTTATTTAATTTCTGTTTTTAATCATTGTGTTTTGATGAATGTCAATAAAGGAAAGTTGTAAAGTTATAATCATACTGTGTGAGACATTGTGATGTCAAATTCTATATTGTGATCTCATGATCTCATGCTCTGATATCTGATTTGCATATTTAAAAGTGTATTAATATTTCCGCCAACAGCAAATGAGTGTCATGGGTTCAATGGATCCTGTCCTGGAAAGACAGGTGGAAACTATCAGGAATTTAGTAGAATCTTATATGGCAATTGTCAGTAAACAGATCCGTGATCTCGTACCAAAAACACTTATGTTCCTTATGATCAATGATGTAAGTATTATTAGATTTCATATAGAGATGAATTATAATATAATAATGATAATAATAATAATAGTAGAAACCAGGCCTGGCCTAAAGGGCAATTTTATAGGATACCAATGTTATAGTTGGGAGCTTAAATTCTTGTTAGGGATAGGCCTGGTCAATCTATAATTTTTCTGATTCTGGTGTTCAATTACCCTAGACCAAGGAATTCATAACAGCAGAGCTACTGGCCCACTTGTATTCTTCTGGTGACCAGAACGGAATGATGGAAGAGTCTGCAGAGGAGGCTGAACGTAGAGAAGAGATGATCCGGATGTACCAAGCAACGAAAGAGGCACTGAAAATCATTGGTGATGTCAGTATAAAAACCATATCAACACCATTACCGCCGCCTGTCAAGAATGATGACCTCATTAAGCCATTCTCCAATGGGTGAGTACCTCTCTCAGAGCTTGTTGTTAGTCTTGAATTTTATTGCCATGTTGTCCATTCATTATACAGGGGCAGATTTAAGAGAGTGCCGGGGCCCGCCC